AGCGAAGACTGGGAATACAGGCTTGCTGTTTCACCTGTTGCTTCTGAACCTTTCTTCTGAGGGGAAGGATCTGAGGCAAGAGAGAAGATGAAATGCCGAGAAGCCGGAGAAGCAGTAGCCCTGGAGAGCTGACGATCATGCTGCGTTAGTGGGGCCGACTGTCCCTGTCCTGATGCTTCTCAGCGTTACCCATGGCTGAAACGGGGAGAGAGCAGATCAAACCCTCCGTCTGCAAAGGAAGCTCCGTGCCGGGGGTCTGGTCCTGTGGCGGGGCCGGGGGGTGCCTGCCTTCTGTGGAAGGCTGGAGGCACGCTGGACGTAGGTGTCCCGCGGGCCGGGATGCCGTGGTGGTCCTCGAGCCGGGCTGTCGGGCTGTCTTTGCGTGTTCTGAGCGCGGCTCTGCAGGGCCGCCAGCGTCACGTACGAGTATTTGCAGGGGGAAGATTAAAAGAAGCGTTCTTTCTCTCCTGTGAAGGCTAGGATATCTAATGTTAGTGATTATATTCTACATGAAAGATGTGATTTAAAATGAAATTTTCAGTTTAGCTGCCAAATATCAATAAAAATGACCGTGGTGCTACTTCGGCAGCCTGCCTAGCTGGTGTCAGCGTAGGGCAAGTTAATGGAAAATCTGCAGAGAACCAAAAGGAAACAAAGCCTGCCAAGAGATAATAGTATTTGTTCAAAGAGACGTGCTAAAGAATTTCTTTATATACTGCAGCCAGCATAAATACTGCTTGTAGTTACTGAGGAGTTTGTGCCTGTTGCCAAAATTGTTGGTGTAGCAGCAGCTGTGGATTTTTTCCCTGAGCTACGATTATATGATGACGACATTTGTGCTCTCCATTTTAAGCAGGTGTTAACCACCAAATCATGATTTAGTGTACATGACTGAGTGTGTCGTTTCCATGGAGAAACAACAACTTCTTCACTACGCAGGGGAAGTTGGTCAGCATTAATCTGGACTAATGGGGCTGACGAGGAGGTCTGCTGCCTTTCGGAGGTGCGTCGCTGCTGACGCTCTCCCTCTCCCCCACAGCTTTTCAAGTGGTGAAATCTCAGCTACAAAGCGTTTCCCAGAGAAGAAACCGATTATGAAACGGGGGTTATATTAATCTCTTGCCTGCTGCCAGATCTTCAAGTGACTTCTCGTTTCGGTGACTTCCTGTGGTCAGATAAAAACATAAAATTTCTCTTTCAGTTTCATTTTAATTCTGAAGATTTTGAAAGCAGTTCTGACAGTTCTAAGTAATAGACTGGAATATTGGTATCTGGTGGTGCTGTACAGCGCACGCTGTCGCAAGTCTTCGTGCTTTGGGAACAGTGCCTGTTTAGAAGTTAGTTTCCAGTTTGGAACTTGGTTCATACGTTCTTTTGAAGTATTTCCTGAGTGGTACTGGAATAAACTAATTGAGAAGATTTTATGCTAGTTGGGATTCCGTAAGTTATGAAATGTGGGGGGGGTTTATTCTTGTAGCAACAACTTAAATACCAGTTTAACAGCTCTACAAATTGAATACAAGCTCTTGTCAAATGTGTTTTTTGATTAAATAAGAGAAAGCTTTGTGTCTGTTCTCAGTGTTATGGTTCAATGAAACTAACCTGGCTCTCCATCAAATTCTCCATTTTTAACTACCTTGTATATAACTACTCAACTGCATCTTGCAAGTAAATGGCTCCAGCTGTGGGCAGTACGGGTGTGGCTGGCAGAGACAGTGCTTACAGGTCCCCTGGTGACGTTCCCTGCTGCTGTCCAGGAGTCTGTCCTTCCTTTGCAGTGAAGCAGCATCGGCTTTGGGTGTACGCAGAGGTTGCCCGGGTCTCTGATACCACGCTGGTCTTCATTTGTCGTTGTCTCCCTGGGGGTGGTGGGTAGAAGGATATTTACTAGTGTGCTGTCGGGCCGTGTCCTCAGTAACCGCACCTGGAGTTGTCAGATTTCTGCACCATTTTGTTTCCAAATGCTATAGCTAATCTCATAACTGGCAAATAGTACTGTGGAGATGCGTTTTTGTATTTTCTGTTAGGTACAGGTTTCTAATTTTTTTTGCTTTCTAGATGTTTTATTATAAAAAAATGTGCATAGAACTGCTTTTATACACCTTTAAAATTATGTGACAGTCTTGTAAGTGTTCTAAGGAGCTGCACATAATTTTTACTTCAGTAGCTGAATTCTATAGACAAGATGAGTAGGCAAAAAACACAAAAAAACCTAAAAAAAACCAGCATAGATTTTTTTTTTTTTTTCCAAGCTATAATGATGCTGATGAAGAGAGAAAGAAAATGGTATTAAGGTTTGGGAAAAATTAGAAAGAGAAGACTGTCATGCTAGATTATAATCTGTTGCTGTATTTAATACCTAATATACGTTTTTCCCCCCACAGAAATTAGCAGAGTACGGAAAGACATGTATAACGACACATTAAATGGTAGTACGGAGAAGAGAAGTGCAGAATTACCAGATGCTGTGGGACCTATTGTACAGTTACAAGAGAAACTATATGTGCCTGTAAAAGAATATCCAGATGTAAGTATATCTTTTTAGTCCCTAAATTATTTTTTGATCCTTGTGGTTGTCTTTAAATGTCAATGTCATGTTATGCTACCCTTGGATCACACGGAATTGCTTTTGACAAGACACTTGGTGAAGCAGCGTGTGTTCCGCTCGGTGGCTTGATCTGCAGTGAGCGTGAGCGGAAGAAGGTTGTGTTCGGTACCGAAGTGGTGTGGGTTATGAAGCCCTGGATCCAAGATCTCAGCTGTCCTGCTCATTTGGGTCTGTCAGTCCTGAGACACTGTGGGGCGTTTTATGAGGGAAGCAGTTCTTGGGACGGTGGCTTTTCCTCTCTGTGTGTCCCTAAAAGTCAGTTGGGGAATGCTTGGAGACCCTGTAGAGACCTTTTGGAGGCTGTGCCTGATCTCAGGTACCGTTTGTCCCATACCACGTACCCAGCCCTGTTGCGTACAGAAGTGTCTTGTCTTGGGGTTGGTCTGTCCCCCCGCCCCCTGCGCGAAGCCCCGTGCTTGCATGCCAGCGTGATGTTCTCCATGGGCGTTCTGTTCTGGTGGACACCTCCCTTTTTGAGGGAGAGTGGTTGCATTTCACTAGACGTGCTGTTTAGAACTCCTGTGGTCTGCATGGTTTCTTAAAGCAACTTGGGGAAAAATAGCCCTGTCAAAATTTACCCCAAGCAGTTTCATTGATCGCTGACTAAACAAGAAATGGCGTTGTTCCTCCCTAATGGAATGCAGAGGTCCTGCTGCAGCGGACGAGTGCAGGGTCCAAGTGAGGCATTTGCATGTTGAAGTGGTGTGAAGTGGAAGAAAGTACAGAACAGCAAAAAATGGAAGTAACGCTTGTGTATTTCTGTGGCTTCTCTGTGTCTCATAATTAGATTAACCTCTCCAAATTGAGCTTTATTATTTTAAGGCTGCTCGGAACATACAGGCCTCTAAATAAAACCTCGTTGTGCCATACTCCGTTAGGAAAACTAAATGTAAGTCGTCATTCGGAACAGAATATTTAGGCAAATCTCTCTTCTCCCTTTTCAGTTTTCACAGGGTTCTTTTTATTGCTTTTTGGTTAAAATACGCGTGCTGGGAAAAGCATTCAAAGAATTTGCATTGGCAGTAGCGACATCTCTCTCCTCTCTCCCCTTCCCTTCTGCTTTTCTTCCAAACTAAGTATATGCGTATGCGTATCTGCATACGTACGTGTGCGCAGGAGTGCACGCGTGCATATCCACACCCCAGAACCAGTGATTCTTTTGAAACTCCTGGGAACTGCAGATTTTGGGGAGGAATTGCGCTGTGCAGTTGTTCTGCAAAGTGATGTGAGTAGCTCTGCGCTGAGCTACCTGTGTGTATCTTAGAGTTATGTTGCCTGTTGGCTTTTTAAGACATAGCTTAGTTGCTGAGATCTTGGCTTTAGAACTCGACGATGTGAAGAGTTGCCTTAGCTGTTGGTTGTAGTTTCTGCAGTACTTGGTGCTTGCTGTACCAGGGTTATGAGATAGGAGGAAGAAAAGGGGCTTGGATTTCCTATAATTATTATTAAGCTTTTCTGCTAGAAGTCAAGGGCGTAGTAACTTCGCTCCTCACTGCCAGTGAATTATCAAATCCAGTTAAACAAGCGGAGAAGAGTTTGCCTGCAGTGGCCGTGGAAGCACTGGGCAGCTCGGGGTGCACGGTGTCCGCAGCTCCTGCGCGCTCGCAGTGTGCCCGCAGCAGCGGGCCCTTGAGCGGGGCACGGGCTCCTTTTCACAGACTTGGGCGAGTTCGGCAGCGACCTGGAACAAGACGGTCCCTGGTGCTTGGGAGCTCGGGACGGGTCTGCACAGCCCCAAGCCTCGCTTAAGCAGCTGGGATGTACCGCTGCGTGCAGAAAACAGCTGTGCTTTCCTACGTGGGCCCTGCCTGAGATCTTTCTGCAAGTCGGGCGTTCAGTAACCCGCTCCGCATGCAGGCTAGGGGAGCGTCCAGGAGGTCTGGAGGACAGCGATGCCAGCTTGTCTTAAAAAGACCTGGAACATCCACGTGTAAAGGTTAATTTCATTTGTAAAGATAACTGCGTTGTAATCAGACGGCGTTACGTTAAGCTTGGTGCTGGCAGCTGGCAGGCGATGTACGTGCTACCGGACGCAGGGCAGACGTGCTGCGCAGGCCGTGGGGCGAGCGTGTCGCAGGAAGCCAGCTAGTTCTTCCTGTTGCCAGCGGTGCTCTTCCAGCTGGCAGCCTGGTGCACCTTACCCGGGCATCAACGTGGATACGTGTAGAGATTATTCCGAGAATAGTGACTAGAACCTGTTTTCTGGTGTAGATTTAGTGGTGGTTTAGACAACAGAAATGAAAAAAAACAACAAACCTCCTCCCCCCTTTATGATGTTCTAATAAACTTTTGTTCTGGTAAATATTTTTGACTTGTAATTTTAAGAATACAGATTAATTGACTGCAGTGAATACTGAAAAAGACTACAGTGCTATTTTGTGCACAAACTCCTAAATTAATTGTGAGGCATAAAAATAAGTCTGCCACAAGTTTAAACAAATTTCTGTTTTACATATGTATATATAAACATACATATATGCATATAAGTATGAAAGATGAAACAGTAAATTTTCATAGCCTGCATCACTTTGATGTGACTATTTGACTGTCCTTTGAGTACCTACACAGAGGAAAGACTATGTAAAATTGGATGACAAAGCTGCAAAAAATATATAAAATCCCCCGTAGTCTCTTAATAACTCAGTTTTTTCTGTGAGTGCATACTGAGTGTTTTCATTCTGAGACTAAAGCTGGTGCAAGGTTCAACTTCACAGCACATCGACTGGCTGCAACAGCCTGTCGTTTCTGAACGCCGACTCCAGAGAGTCTGCATGTCTGCTCCTGCACTAGCGAGGGCAAGATATGCAAAAATCTTGCTAAAGAAGAACTGATTTTCTTGTCTGTGTCGTATTAATAAGGGGCATTTTTCCATGGTGTAATCACAATCTGACAAATTGTGGAGCTGTTGGGGTGGCCTGCTCTCTGGCCCATCGTTTTTCCCTGGCAAGTTACAGTAAGGCAGTTGTGTGTATTTGTATATATTATTTTCTTCTAGCACCCTTAGAAGGCGTTAGAGCTTTATTTAGTCTTAAAACTGAGATTTGAGCTACTTAGCTTTTCTGAACCATGTATATGCTCCTGAAACTTGAGAGAGAAGTGGCGCAGAAGGCACCCAGAGGATTAAGTTCCATTAGTTGTCCAGAATTTGACCTTCAGTTCAAAATGTGTTCTCTCTACAGTTAGGTCTTTGTGTGCTCAGCTAAGTCTTTGGTGTGACAGTTTGATGGCATTTCCAATTCATGGAGCAGTATTTTCCATCAGAGTTTAAAAAAGTGAGAAGAAAAGATGTCGGGAAAATGCTTGGGCTCCCAGGAAGCAGAAGAACAGAGGATATGCTATTGTCTGTGGGTGAATAGTTAATAGTCTCTAGCATTTCTTATGCTCCAGATAAATGATTAATTTTCTTGAATTTCCCTAAAGAGCTGAGACTAAACTTTCTGTCTGATATCAATTTAAACAGTTTTTGGAATTAGTACCTATAAATGTTGAACTGAATAAATGTTTTTCTATTATAATCATAGCTTTATTATTAATAAGTACCCTGTTAGCTCTGATTAATGTGAAATTCTCTGTTGGAACTCTTCTGTGCCTCTTCAGTAAAAATGTAAGAACTCAGTAATTATCGCATCTGAAGTAGCATGTCCTTCGAGTATACCGAAGCTCAAAGGCCAGCGGTGATAAACAGCTTGTGCGTACTTTCTGACCATTTTAGTTAAAACTGTTTAATTAGTACAACAGAACGATGAACACAGGGATTCATTTTACCATGGGGAACTTGCTGACAAAACGTTTAAATCCTTTTTCAATTTGGTAATATCAGAGTTTAATAGCATCCCTAATATGGATTATGAAAATGATAACATCCTCTTTATTTATTGTTCTGGTTCTTTTACTTAATCTCTTCGTTCCCTAGTGGTAAACAGGGAAGGAGGCTGAAAGGGCTGGCCGTGCTTGCCCTTGCAGTGGGAAGGAAGGAGGGAGCGTGGCTGGGCTCCGTAACTAAACCCGGGCGACGGAGTCGTGGCGGGGCTGAGGGGAGGTTGGGCAGAAGGGCAGCGACTGATACAAGTACAAATGTGTGTGAAGGAACTGAAGTAGTCTGATTACTGATTGCCAGTCTGAATGAGGTGTTTGAAATAACATTCTAGTAGAAGTAGCGGGAGCAAAAAAGAGAATTTTGCATTTGAACTTTATCTATGAGAGGCTTTACACACTCTGGTTGCAAATGGTGAGGGAGTAGGTTCCTGGAGAAAGGTCCCCTTTATTTAGATGCTAATAAAACGGAGATGAGCCTTAATATTTGTATGAAGCTTTTTTACCCTTTCTCTCTGATGTTTTGCTGGATGTCCTTCTGTTACTGACCATCTGATTGACCTTTTGAAAGGTAAGTTTCTTTTGAGCCCTGGCTTCCACTCAGTAGCTTACTGTTTTGGTGTCACCTTGCTGAAAGATGACATACATTGCCATAATTTTATTCAGAAATAAACCTGTCAGATCTGCAGAGCATGTTTGTCCTCGGAGGCCAAAGGGTGGAAGACAGTCTAGAATACATTGCAGATAAACCCCCTGTCTCTGATGGGCGTCTTGCAGGTTTTTTAACTTGGTCCATGTCTCATCCTTGTGAGAGTCATTTCTTCCCTATTGAGCTCTTCAAGCAGTGAGCGCAATGAAGTTAGACAGGTGATTACAGAGTCATTTATCTGTTAATATTCTTATTCCCATTTCATTCTGAATTTCAAACTTTGCTCTTTAACTATTTGCAGATACTCTGTTTGGTGTGTGTGTAAATGAAAAAAGGAAGGCAGGGTGGAGGTGAGACAGGTAAGGAGTAAGTAAATAGCACTTGCTTTGGCTAGGGACAGTGTCTCCCGTGGTGTTTTTCAAAGTAAATTTGGAAATCCGGGAGAAGATACCAGTTG